GGCGACAGAGTGAGACTCCAACTCAAAAAAAAAAAAAAAAAAAGAGGCTGAGTCAGGTGGATTGCTTGAGTCTAGGAGTTCAAGACCAAGTGGGACAGCATAGCGAGAGCTCGTCTCTATAAAACATAAAAAAATTAGCTGGGTGTGGTGGTATCTTTGGGACTCCAAGGCAGAAGGCTCACCTGAGCCCAGGAGGTTGAGGTTGTAGTGAGTCGTGGATGTGCCACTGTACTCTAGCTCAGGTAACAGAGTGAGACCCCGATTTGGGAGGTAGGGGGAAGACCCTAGCAGGCAAGAAGCAAATATGCCTGGTTTCCCGGCAGAGAACCCAGTAGAGCATCATGGAGGTAGGAACTTTTCTTTCTTTTTTTTTGAGTTGCAGTCTCATTCTGTTGCCCAGGCTGGAGTGCAGTGGCACGCTCACAAACACCCCAGCGTTGACCTGCTGGGTTCAGGTGATCCTTCTGCCTCAGCCTTCCAAGCAGACGGAATTACAAGCACGCACCACCACGTCCGGCTAATTTTTTGATTTATTGTAGAGATGAGGTCTTGCCAAGTTGCCCAGGCTGTTCTCGAGCCCGTGAGCTCAGGCAATTCCCTCACCTCAGCCTGCCAAAGTGCTGGGATTATAGGCTTGAGCCACCACGCCCAGCTGGAACTTCTTCTTCTTCTTCTTCTTTTTTTTTTGAGTTGGAGTCTTACTGTCGCCTAGACTGGAATGCAGTGGCCGCTCCCGGCCACCACAGCCTCGACATGCTGGGCTCTGGCAATCCTTCCGCCTCAGCCTTCCAAGTAGCTGGAACTACAGGTGCACGCTACCACATCCAGCTAATTTTTGATTTATTGTAGAGATGAGGTCTCACCAAGTTGCCCAAGCGGGTCTCGAACCCACGGGCTCAGGCAATCCACTCACCTCAACCGCCCAAGGCACGAGATTATAGGCTGAGCCACTGAGCCCAGCCCAGCTGGAACTTCTTAAAGGTTTCCGTGGTGGCAGTTTTTCATGGTCCTAAATGCCCTCTGATTATAAGCAATTCAGATTATATGTCTCCTAGTGCCATGTGATGTTTGGAACACTGAACATTATGCGATGGACAGGCCAATGCCAATAATTCCAAGGCACTGTGAAGGCCCAGGGAACCACGGCTCAAATTAGGAGTGAGCCCTGGAGAGGTGAGTCTGGGTGTGGTAGAAACAGCACTAACTAGGAGTCCAAAGGCTTGGGTTGTAATCCCAGCCTGTTTACAAGTGATGCAGCCTCACTAAGCCTCAGCCAAGCTGAGCTTATTTCCTTGTCCATGAGAATGGGGTGACTTCATCTGCCTTTCAGGCCTTGGAGGAACTTTGGGGGAGTTGAAGGAGAAAACATACACATAAATGCACTCTGTCAAATGTGCAAGACATAAGGGGTTATCAGACACACCTATGGTCTGCTTCTCATTACATGGCCCAGGCAAAGGGAGGGAATTCTTTTTTTTTGAGTTGGAGTCTCACTCTGTTCCACCTCAGCCTTCCAAGTAGCTGGAACTACAGGCGTGCGCTACCACGCCCGGCTAATTTTTTATTTATTGTAGAGATGAGGTCTCGCCAATTTGCCCAGGCGGGTCTCAAACCCGCGGGCTCAGGAATCCACTTACCTCAGCTTCCCAAAGTGCTGGGATTACAGGCTGAGCCACCAAGCCCGGCTTAAAGGGAGGGAATTCTAACTGTCCGGAACAATTCAGGTGGCTGGGAGCTAAGGCTCAGTCACAGCTGCTTACCATAATTACCAACGTCATTACCAATGTGGACTGAGTGCCCTTGAGATGCCGTCCTGAACCAGGCATCAGGAGAAGTGGGAGACATGTTAATACACACGAGTCCCTGCCTTCTGGAAGTTCTCATCAGTACAGTTTTGGAAACAGGTACATAATGGATCCATAGAAACCGGCTTTTAAGTTAGATTGTATGTTTCTCCATACCACACCACCTTCCCCGCACCCCTTTACTTCTTCTTCTGTAGAGGTAAGTCAGATCTTTCACAGGCACTGGTGCTTCTCCCTGGCTAGGAGTCACAGAGCAGATCAACAATCTGATCCTTCTTCCATCTCTGTCCTACACGTAGACTTCTCACTCTGCAAGTTCCAGCTCAGACATCAGTTCCCCACAAGAGCTGTTCCAGCACCCGTGGGAGTCAGCATATGACCTTAGCCCTGGTACCCCTTTCCGCTGTAACTTCTTGTTCACATGTCTCTCTTCCCGCTGGACTGAGCTCCTTAAAGGCTCCGGCCTACCTTCTAACTTGGCACGAAGCCTGGCACACACAGCAAGCACACATCTACTGAGGACCAGCATGGAAGGCACTGAGTGTCATCAAGATAATAAACAATAGCATGTGACCCTCTCCTGTCTGTGCGGAACTGTCACTGTTGAGCTACACCTGCTGTCCCCTTCACTGCCTGTGCCCCTCTATGGGCAGCATGGGGGAGAATGGTGTCGGCATATCCCCTCAGACTCTAACTGGAAACCCAGGGGAGTGACGCAGAACCCAAGAGGCTGTCCTCGGGGCCCAAGCTTGTAATAACGTCAGGCCACAGGGCTGGGCCACAGGCCGTGGAAAGCAAGGCAGAGATGGTTAGCTATTCAGGCCAACATCAGGCTGCGGGCTGGTTTACACAGTCATGATACAGTAGCTGAGGGACCACACGGCACATTCATATTTCCTTAAAATTACATCACCATGTAACTCTTAAGACACACTTTTGGGTATTTCCTTAAATTTGTACTGCTGTCTGCATGCATCACTGAGTGCACAGTTTCCCATGGAGAGTACTTCAAAGGTGATCGCAGCGACATTCAGCAAAGAAGTAATGCAGCACCTTTTCTACGATAGTTCGCGAACCTAATTGTTGGACCTTGTATATAATTTTATTGAGTCGAGGTCTCTCTCTGTTGCCCAGGCTGGAGTATAGTGGCACAATCATGGCTCACTGCAGCCTTGATCTCCTGGGCTCAAGTAATCCTCCCGCCTCAGCATCCTGACAGCTGGTGCACACCATCCCACCCGACTAATTTTTTTAATTTTCTGGTAGAGACAGGGTCTCGCTATGTTGCCCAGGCTAGTCTTGAATGCCTAAGCTCAAGCAATCCTCCTGCCTCAGCCTCCCAAAGTGTTGGGGCGTGAGCCACCATGCCCTGCTAAGTAGATATTTCTAAGAATTGAGATAAAGCTCTCCAGGGCAAATATGCCAGCAATTCTTATGATGTGCAGCCCACATCTGTGGGATCCTGGTGTCCCACAGATGCTTCTGGATCTGACAAAAGAGCAGCTCACCTCTTTCACAAACCCTACTTTACCTGACACACAGGCCAGACTCACCTTTGCTACCAGTGATGACTGGCACATTACGTGGTCGAGACCGGCAGTCGAAGATGATTGGTTTCTGAACCCATGGGATGAGAAAGTGAGTCCCTTCCCCTACCACGATGTCCTGCACACCACGGAATCGGTCAAAGATGACAGCTCTGTGCCCAGCATCCACTAGGAAGGAAGGATAAAGATGGATCAGAAATAACCCCTCATCCCTTCTCCCAAAGTTCATGTCTTTGAAAGAGCCCTGGGGCTTTCTGTTTACTTATTAAGTCTCCCCTCTCCTGCTCTGCTTTCCCAAACTTCTGGTCTCTAGAAACTTATACAAAACTAAGCAACCACTTCCTGCCCCATGTGTCTCCTCAAGGACTTCGGTAATAAGAGCTCTTCCGCTAAGACCTGGCTGCTGATTTCTGGCTGACCATCTCACGCACAAAATCCATGAACACATTTCCAAGAACCACCTCCTAAAACTCCTGAAACTCACTGAAGTCTCCCTGCTACCACACGCCCATCCCAGCTCCAGTTTAACCCAGAGCTCCCAAAAGCAGCACCCTCACTATGGGAATCCTGAAATTCAGACGCCCCACTCTTCTTTCCTTTTTATTTTTTTTTGAGTCAGAGTCTCACTCTGTCGCTCAGGCTAGAGTGCAGTGGCACATGACAGCCACCGCAGCCTCGACCTGCTGGGCTCAGGCCATCCTTTCGCCTCAGCCTTCCAAGTAGCTGGAACTACAGGTGTGCGCCATCACAGCCAGCTAATTTTTTGATTTATTGTAGAGACAAGGTCTTACCATGCTGCCCAAGCTGGTCTTGAACCTGTGGGCTCAGGCAACCCTCTTGCCCTGGCCTCCAAAAGTGCTGGGATTACAGGTGTAAGCCACCACACCTGGTCCATTCTTCCTTCCTAATAGCTCAGTTACTCTAGAGCTGTAATGGGTGACAGAGCTGTCTTGCTGACTCAGAGAGAGATTCCGTGATGGCAACTACCGTCTAGTTGCAGGTATGGCCAGAAGGATGATGGTACTACAGAGACATGTCACCTAAGCCAAGTGGGCTTTTCTCATCAACTGCCTCTTGCATTTTATATTTGGTCCATATATCTTCACTCTGAAAGTCAGCCTCCTCCGGTCAGACAGCCACACACCAGGGAGGCCAGTCTACTGCTGCCCTGCAGCTGTGACAGTGACAGACTTTCAGAGTGGGAGGGGGGTTTGAGAAATACACTAGTTCAATCCCATTGTTTGACCAATGGGAAAGCTGAGGACTAGAGAGAGGGAAGTGACCTGCCTAAGGCCACACTGCACGGTGGAAGAAGTCAGCTTAACCTCCAGCCACATTGTTAGAAGCTGGGCAATGCAGCTCAAAGACATTCTCTCCAAAACTACTGTGCTTTGGCAGGGCAAAAGCTCCTGCTCGAGGTCACCCAAACAAGTCTACAGTCTTTGCTGGGTTATTCCACACAAAAGCAGAAGAGAACAAGTGAGATCTCCATTGCAGAGAGCCAGGGGAACCTTGAAACTGCAGCAGCACTTGGGGCACAGCACTATTTGAAGAAAACAAGAGCAACCAGAGACAACCACCAGGAACCAGGCTGGGAGGCTGTTTTGGAACAAAGGCTCTGAGAGAATCCATGGCTGAAAGGACAGGGACTCTGATAACTGTGCCACTCTATGGTGTGAGATGGCATGAGGTGAGCTCTCTAGGCCACACACATTCACAAACAGCAGCTACCATCAGGGTATCACATGGGCTATGTAGACCAACAGAAACCTTCCAGCAAAGGGCAGTGACCCGCCACCCCTCGGTGCCTCACCATTATATAAGGCAGAGTTTACCACGCCCCCTGCAACGGCCAAGGCCAGGCCGAACTTGCCGATGGACTCAAACACCTTGGCAGCCATGTCTCCTTCTGCTGGGCCCTCTCACACCTAAGGCAGGAAAAACGAAACAAGCAAAACAAAACAACTTTGACCCAAATCCTCAGAGAAAGTTCTCTCTGAGCACAACTCAACTTTTCAAGCTGGTGAACTATTTCCCCACTCTGAGAGCGCTAAGTCACCCACTGAGAGAGAGCTAATGATAACACTCTACAACTGGGAAAGTGCAGTAGCAATCCCTTTGTTCTTTTTCTTTTTCAGTTTCTTTTTTCTTTCTCAACCACTTAAAGACAGGGGTCTGGAGCACTTGGTTCAATAATGAGAACAAGGCATGGATTTTGATCCAATGAGAATTTAGCACTTTCTAAGTTACCCTTTCATTTCCTGGACAAGAAGTCTCCAAGACAGACTGTATGGTGGCTTCTGTGCAATTCTGGCTTGAAAAACTAACTCAAAGAATGTGTTACATGGTGATGCCAACAACGAAAACAATAGTGACAGCTAACATTTATATCAGGTGGTCATCTTTGTTTTTGAATTGGGATCGCACTCTGTCACCCAGACTGGAGTGCAGTGGCACCATCACTGCTCACCCCAGCCGCCTCACCTCTTGGGCTCAGGCAATCCTTCCACCTCAGCCTCTGAATAGTAGGGCTACAGGCATATGCCACCACACCCAGCTAATTTTTTTTTTTTGGTACAGACAAGGTCTCACTATGTTGCCCAGGCTGGTCTCTAAGTCCTGGACTCTAGCAATCCTCCTGCCTCAGCCTCCCAAAGTGCTGGGATTATAGGCATGAGCCACCTTGCCTGGTACAGGCAGTCTTTTAATAGCAATTTACTCCTGGCAATTACCCTAAGAAGTAGATTACTGCAGATGAGGAAACTGAGGTACACAGAGAGGTTCTATGAAGAGCCCAGATCGCACAGTTATGAAGTGGCAGAAGCAGAACGAGAAGCTGGAGGTCTAATGCTAGCAGGCATAGCTTAACTCCTCACCATGCTGCTTCTCGTGCATTAGGAATGGCCTGTTATAGAAGCAGGAGCTGGGTGACAATCTGGGACCAAGACAGTAGAAGAACCCACTTGGCAGAAAGACTCTCGCCAACTGCACAGCGAGATCTCTGCAAGAACTGGGAGGGCAGGGCCGAGGCGGGGTGGGCAGGAACACAGGCGACCTCACTCCAGCATTTAACTTTTGTAATGCCCCGCTCCAACGTCGCGGTTGCCTCTGGTCTCAAATCCCCCCTCCCTCCTTCCCGGACCTCAACTCCTGACACTGCCTTGATCTCTCCGCGTACACCTCTGCGGGCCGGGACACGACACCCACCCTTTTCCATTTCTAATAGCTTCTGGATTATTCCTCACCCTGCCCCCATCCACACCTCCCTTACTCCGCGCAACCCCTGGCTGGGCCCAGGCTCGGCCCTTTTCCCCTCTCCCGCAAGGCGAACCCACGCCCGCACCCCACTCGCCCAAAGGGCATATGACGGGGCAGAGGAGGGCTGCGGACACGACGAGAAACAGGCCCCTGCCGCACCCCACCATGCTCACCTCCTTCCACTCTGACCTCCACATGAATTCCCCAGCCACTCACAGTGCGCGTGCGCCGCGGTGCCCCGTCTCTTCCCGGCCCCTTCCAAGATCCACGCCTCCGATTGGTGGGGACGAGCGCCGTGACTTCTGGGAAGGGTGGCTTGCAGTCTTGCCCCGGTCCTGCGGCTCTTCGCCGGTGAACTACAACTCCCAAGAGGCCATGCGGCGGCTGGCCGCGCCGAAAAGCCTTTTCTCTTTGGTGGTCATCGCCGAGATGTTGCTGCAAAGCCTTCTGGGGGCTGTAGTTCCTTGAGGGATGAATGCACGTGGCTCTTCTATACCCGTTCCTGAGACCGACGGAAGATGAGCCTTAGGGTCCTGGGAAGGAGGGGCTGGGCGTCCAGCGGGTGGCAAAAGTGAGCAAGGGCAAGATTATGAAAGAGAACGGGTGGGCACTTCGAAGGAAGTTGTGGTAAAATAACTGGCGGACCAAGAGTCCTTGAGGGAGCCAAGGACCTTTTTTCCAAAGCCTTGTCTGGAAATGTCCTTAGTCTTGAGATGTTGATTACCATAGCCAGAGAGAAACTTAGAAACCACCTGTACCAGAAAACTGAGGCCAGCAGAGAGGAAGGGATTCACCCAGGGTCATGAGCCAAGTGAGCAAAGGGGCTGGGCTTAGAGCCCAGGTCCTCTGGACACAATTTCATTTTTTTTAATATTTATTTTAGACATAGGATCTGTCTATATTGCCCAGACTAGGCTGAAACTCCTGGGCTCAACCAATCCTCCTGCCTTGGCCTCCTGAAGTGTTGGTATTACAGGCGGGAGCCACTGCGCCTGGCCTAGCCCTATTTTCATATCTCCATCTTGAGAATGAAGAAATGGAGATTCAGAGGAGTCAAGTAGCTTGCTATAGTCACACAGCTAATAAATTGCAGATGTGTCTGATATTATAGCCTATCCTTTTCCAAGCTGTGGAAAGGGGTAGTCCGTAAGTAATAGCTTAACAAAGGCAGATTTCACTCCTTAGCTTAGTGCCAACCTAGGAGGGGTGGTGATTAAAGCAAATCATTATAGAAGAACATATTTTTTCTTTTCTTCCCCTCTTTCTCTTTCTTTCTTTTGTTTTCTTTCTTTCTTTTTGTTTTTGAGTTAGAGTCTCACTCTGTCACCCAGGCTGGAGTATAGTCGCATGATCATGGCTCATGGCAGCCTCGACTTCTTGGGCTTAAGTCATCCTTCTGCCTCAGCCTTCCAAGTAGCTGGGACTACAGGAATACACCACCATTCCTGGCTAATTTTTTTATTTTTTGTAGAGACGTGGCCTTGCTATGTTGTCTAGGCTGGTCTCAAACTCCTGGGTTCAATCTCTCCTCAGACTCCCAAAGTACTGGGATTACAGGCATGAGCCTGGCCACTTCTCTATTTCTTTTAAAGATCCATTTAACATACATATATCGGAGGCCTATGCAGTCCTAGCCATCATGCTAGATACTGAGGGTACAGTGATGAAGAAGACAGAGGAAGGCCTTGTCCTCTGGAGTTTGCATTTTGTCTATGGTATACAGACAGAAAACAAGTAACAAAGTTATATGATTTTTTTTTTTTTTTTGAGTCAAAGTCTCACTCTGCACTCTGTTGCCCAGACTGGAGTGCAATGGCATGATCATGGCCACCACAGCCTTGACCTGCTGGGCTCAGGCTGTCCTTCCTTCTCAGCCCTCCAAGTAGCTGGAACTACAGGCGTGCACCACCATGCCCAGCTAGTTTTTTGGTTTATTGTAGAGATGAAGTCTTGCCATTTTGCCTAGGCTGGTCTCCAACCTCTGGGCTCAGGCAATCCTCTCACCTCCACCACCCAAAGTGCTGGAATTACAGGTATGAGCCACCGCATCTGGCAATTATATGAAATCTTGACTAGTTTCATGAAAAAAATAAGCAAACAATAGGAGAATGAAAAGTTATGGTTGCAAGGAACAGAAGAGTGGGCTCAACTGGTTTAAAAAATAAGGAAATACATTCTACCAAATAACAAATCCTAAGGGCAGTTCTGGGGTTGGTTAGGACAGTGGCTCATCAGTGACGCAAGATCTGTCCATCTTTTGGTCTTGCCATCTTAAAGCATTGACTTTTGTCCTCATGCTTGTCCTCTCAAGGTCACAGAAGGCCCACACTTAATGTTCTCACACAACAACCAAAGGCCAGAAGGCAGGCCAAGGCATGTCATGTTTTGGGGTCCCTTTGTAAAAGTGAGATAAAGGTTCCCAGAAGCAACCCATCACCTATCACCTCATGTGTTGCTAGGCAAGCTTGTACTACCTGCCTATTTCTAGACCAGTCACTGGCAACAGAATGACATTGTCATGCTGGGATTCAATGAATTAAGAGACAACCTCTGGGATTGGAGAGGGACCTGACTTCTCTTGAACCCCATGACTGCCTAATACCCTCAGAAGATGCGGGTTCTTGTTAGCAAGGAAGAAGAATGGACAGGAGCATGGATGTTGGAATTGCCACTGATACTGTCTGCCACAAGGATCTATTTGGACAGGCTGGTCAAGAAGGCCTCTATGAAGAGATGATATTTAAGGCAAGAGCTACAGAAGTAATATTTGAAAAGAGTTTAGTGGGATGGAATGAGGGCATTTAAGCAGAGGGAATAGCAGGGGAATGTCAAGAACAAGGCAAGACAAGACTGATAGGTTTGACTGCTAGAGAGACAAAAAGCCCTTTTTAGATTCAGACTCTTTTTTGTAATTATTTTTTTGAGTCAGTGTCTCACTCTGTTGGCCAGGCTGGAGTGCAGTGGCACGCTCATGGCCACTGCAGCCTCAACCTGCTGGACTCAGGCAATCCTTCCACCTCAGCCTTGCAAGTAGCTGGGACTATGCGCATGCCACCACGCTTGGCTAATTTTTTGATTTATTGTAGAGACAAAGTCTCACCAAGTTGCCCAGGCTGGTCTTGAACCCCTGGGCTCAAGCAATCCTCTCGCCTCTGCCTCCCAAAGTGCTGGAATTACAGGCATGAGTCATCATGCCTGGCCAATTCAGACATTGTATTACTTACATAGATATTGAAAAGAGCAATAGCCAAAGGTACCAGCTTCTAGTGGCCCTTGTGCAGGGCGACACTGAAACCAAAAGGCCAGGTGGCCCAACTCAGATGGTGGAACACTTTATTGATGGGGAGCCACTGCCAGATCTGCAGCATTCTAGCTGGCAGTTGTATCCTTGAGTGGGGGTGAAACTGGAAGCCCCACACCTCACTGGAACCTGGGAAACCGTGAGGAATTGTCTCCTGACAACCTTCTTGGCCCATGGGGAAGCGAGTGAGAAATGGCCTTGCAGCAACTCCTCGCAAGCCTCCTTTGTGTTCCAGGAGGCTCACAGCCTTCTGCCAAGATGGAGGTTCAACTGAGGTTCCTTCCCATCTTGCGTAGGCGGACTGTACAGGGATTTTGTATAAGGTTATCAGGATGCCACAGCGGGCCATCTCCCCACAGTGCAAAGAACTAGAGGCAGGCTAGAGTTTGGCTCACTGAAGGAATGAATCACAGGGAGTGTGGCCGGAGAATATGAGACAATGGGAGAGTTACACAAGATGACAATGGTGAATTAAGCAAATGCCAGACATAGGCTTGGTTAGACAGTTGTGTTTTTAGTGCAATGGGAAGTTCCCAAAAGTTGTAAGACAGGAGAATAGTTAAATTATGGGGAAAACAACCAGCTCAAAAGAAAAATCTACAGATGCTGAAGAATCAAGCCAGGTCACCCTGGAACAATGGTTCTTAAACTTTTAGAATACCTTTTTTTTTTTTTTTAGCTGGGCTCGGTGGCTCAGCCTGTAATCCCGCGCTTTGGGAGACTGAGGTGATTGGATTGCCTGAGCCCGCGGGTTCGAGACCTGGGCAACTTGGCGAGACCTCATCTCTACAATAAATCCAAAAAATTTGCCATGCGTGGTAGCGCAGGCCTGTAGTTCCAGCTACTTGGAAGGCTGAGGCAGAAGGATCGCCAGAGCCCAGCAGGTTGAGTCTGCGGTGGCTGGGAGCGGCCGCTGCACTCCAGTCTGGGTGACAGAGTGAGACTCCAGCTCAAAAAAAAATAATAATATCTTTTTTTAAATGGATAATAATAATGGTACATGTTTGTGGGGTACATATGCTATTTTGACACATGCATTCAATGTGTAATAATTAAATGAGGGTATTTAGGGTATCCATTATGTCAAAATTTTGTTATTTCTTTGTGTTCGGGACATTTCAAATCTTCTCTGCTAGCTATTTGGAAATAGACAATAAATTATTGTTAGCTATAGTCACCCTAATGTGCTCTCAAACACTAGAACACTTATTCCTTCTATCTAAATGCATGCTTGTACCCATTAACCAGCCTCGCTTTCCCCTTCCTAGCCTCTGGTAACTACCATTCTACTCTCTACCTCCATGAGATCAATGTTTTCGGTTCCCATATATGAGCGGTATTTGTCTTTCTGTGTCTGGCTTACTTCACTTAACATAATGACCTTCAGTTCTATACATGCTACTGCAAAGACAGGGTTTTATTCTTTTTGTGGCTGAATGGTATTCCATTTTGTATACAAGACCTGACAATTAAATTCATGGGCTCATCCTAGAAAACGTGCTACCTACCTCACTGCTGAATATCACTATGGTTAACCTTCGAAGTACTCCCCTTGGGAAACTATGCACTGACACCAGCGCCTAGTTTACCCATCAAGGTAATTCTGGAACTCCTTTTCTGGAAGGGCCATCAGAACCGCTGTGGCAGGAATGTTGGAGTTTGAATTAGAGCAATGAGCAAACATTACGTTTTTGTTAAATTTGGCAAGAGTGGAAGTTAAATCAGGGACATGTTAGTCCAAGTTTATGGGGGAAAGTCATGAAGGAAATGGCAGTGTACAAATGGATTTAACGTTTTTCTGAGGGGAGAGAACACGTCACTGATGAAGAGAGGTCAGGATGGACAGGAATGAGCAGAACTGATGAAAACATTGCAAAAATTTGTTGAATTGTGTGTCAAAATCGTTGACTGGGAAGCATAGCAATTCAAATACACGTGG